CCCCCCCCCCCCCCCCCCCACACACACACACACACACATAGCACATAGTAAGACATGTTTTAACAGAACAAAGTAAAAGAGGTGTTAACCTGCATGAGACGAGGCTGTCCTCCAGCACTCAGTGGTCTGCAGGGCAGGGTGGTCTTCTCAGCCACTCTCAGCCATTTTTCCCTCACTGACCCACCTCCATCCATCATGCTGTCCTCAGACTCACTCTCTTGATCCTTGCTGGTTGTATTTTCCTCTTCAGGAATGTGAACTAACTGTGAAGATCCGGGTCGAGGTTGAATGGCGACTCTGGCTCCACCTGCCATCCCAGAACTGCCATTATGTCCCAGGTGATTATGGCTGTTTATGGGTACAGAGCTAGCTGCTAGCTTCATGTACTGAGCAGGAATGTGGGCCCCAACACGCATTTCTGCCTCCTGTGCTGATGCTGAAACCATGTGTGTGGCAGCACGCAATTCTGCCTCCAGACCCATGGCAGATGGTTCAGAGGAGCAGCGAAGCTCCATGTTCCTCTGAGGAGATGAAGAGGAGGGTGGCCTTATTCCATCCATCACCTGCAGAGACATCTTCCTGTTATCGTTTTTATTCTTCCACTGGCTGAGCAGCTGTTTGGAGCGGGTTGAGTCCATAGAGGCATGGATGGCAGCATGGCGCCGTGGAATTCGACCCTCCTCTAATGAGGATCCACCATGGGACCTAAAATAACACAAGAAAAAAATGATCCCATTTTCACACCTAATGTCAAACTAGACTAACTGTTGTATAATATTATTATGTTTTTATTAATATTATTCTAGGAGATATTTTTGGGTGCATATTTTGATTGGCGCAGAAAAGGCGAGACTGTGATTGGAAGGTCACCTGTTTGACCCCCCAGACCGGCAGCATCAAAAATGTAGATGGGAAAGGTGATGCACCCACAACTGCTTCCACCCTCATTTGCCCCAATTTGAGCCCTTGAGTAAGGCCCTTAACTCCCACCATCTACTCCACTGGGCATCCTAGGTGGAAGCTCTCTGCTCCACACAGACGGCTGTGGTAGATGGGTGGTCTGTAGTTGTGTCAGGAAGGGCATCCAATGAAAAACAATTGCCAAGTCTTCAAGCAAATTAGTTCACTGTGGCAACCCCTGAGGAAGGGAGCAAAATTCTAGGAGATATTGCAATTGCAAAGTGCTCAGGACTACAGTAGTATACCGTATGTGCCTAGAGCAAGCATTCCTAATTGTTATTTTATTGTAAAACATTGGATAATAAAAAAATCACCATTGTCCATCAGTAATGATCCATGTACTGTGTACACTGTCCAGGCAGAACATGGACTCAATGATACTAAAATACTAATAATACATGGACACATCCGTTCATCCATCCATCCATCCATCCATCCGTCCGTCCGTCCGTCCGTCCATCCATCCATCCATCCATCATATTTTGCTTGTTCTGAAGTCGGGTTGCGGGAGCAGCAGCTTGAGCAGGGAGGTTCAGACATATTTTTCCACAGCCAGCTATTCCAGCTCTTCTGGGAGAACCCCAAGGCATTTCAAGGCCAACCAAGAGACATTGTCTCTAGTCTGTCCTGGGTCCCCGGGGGTCTCCTTCCATATGGACATGCCTGAAGCACCTCCCTAGAGAGGTGCCAAGGAAGCATCCTTACCAGATTCCCAAACCACCTCAACTGGCTCCTCTCAATGTGGAGGAGCAGCAGTTCTACTCTCAGTCTCTCCTAGATAACTGAAATTCTCACCCTCTTTCTAAGGGAGAGTCCAGCTACCCTGTGGAAGAAACCTGTATCTGCAATCTTGTTCTTTTGGTCACTACACAGAGTTGGTGGCCATAGTTGAGGGTACAAATGTAGACCAACCGATAAACAGATTCACCCTACAGCTCAGCTCCCGCTTCACCAAAACGAACCAGCACAGAGTCTGCAATACTGCAGATGCCTCACTAGTCCATCTGTCAATCTCATGCTCCATTCTTCCCTCACTCATGAACAGAGCCCCAAAATAATTGAACTTCTCCACTTGAGGCAGAATCTAACCCTAGACCTGAAGAAAGCAATCCTCCCTTTTCCCACTGAGGACGATGGCCTCAGATTTGGATGTGCTGATTCTCATCCAAACCACTTCCCAATCGGCTGCAGACTGCTCTACTGAGAGCTGAAGATCATGGCACAATGATGCCAACAGGACCCGATCATCCCCAAATCGCAGTGCTGGAATGCTGAGGCCACTGAACTGGACTCCCTCTGTCCCCTGACTGCACTGAGAAAATCTGTCCATAAAAGTTATGAACAGAATCGGTGACAATGATCAGCCCTGGTGGAGTCCAACTCCCACCCTGAAGGGGTTTGACTTACTGAATACTATGGTAAATGGTAAATGGACTGTACTAATATAGTGCCTTTCTATCTTATTGAGATACTCAAAGCGCTTTACACTACAATCTGTGTTCTCATTTACCCATTCATACAGCACTCTACTAGATCTCTACAAAGCTAATTGAACAAATCATTCTAAAGAGACTAATCAGAGCTTTATCACATTCATACACAAATGGGACACACATCGGAGGCAACTGGGGTTCAGCGTCTTGCCCAGGGACACTTCGGCATGTGACTGCTGGTGGATTTGAACCCCCAACTCTTGCATTGGAGGACGACTGCTCTAACCACTCAGGCACAGCCGCCACCATGCAAACTAAACAACCTGTAGCAACTGGCCCCCAATCCCATACTCATGGAGTCAGAGAGTCAGAGTCAGAGATGCTTTAATAGCATTCATGTGGTACATGTGGTGGAGCGAAATTATGTACACAGGGTCCCAGTTACATCCAACAATAAAATGTAAAAGAAAAACAATGATAACATCTAAGATATGAACTAAGAAAAACATCAACTAAATATACACTAAGCACTAATAGCATAAAAACATTACGTCGAACATCAGCACAAACATGAGCACCCCCAAAGTGTAGAATAAATGCTGTCAAAATAAATATTCTACCTAAATTTCTGTTTGTTTCAGAGCCTGCCAATTTTTCTTACTAAATCATTCTTTTCCAACCTGAACAGCTAGCTATCAACTTTTAATTGGAATAAAAAGCATCCACGAATTGGCAGGAAGATCTTGCATCTGCCCCGTAGCCTTGGAGGCATGTCACTTCTAAATTTCATTCACTATTACTGGGCAGATAATATCAGAGCCTTATTATATTGATCAAGAAAGGATACTCCTGGTTCCAATTGGGTGACTTTAGAGAATGCCTCAATTAGATCCAGTTCCCACTCTGTGTTACTTTGCTCTCAGATTTAAACATAGATATAAGATAGAAGGATCTGCATCCTCTGGCATATGAACACTGGATAAGAGAAGTTATGTGTCATATTCATTTGAAAAAGATTAGATATACTGTGAAAGGATCTGTTGGAAGATTTTGGGACACTTGGCAGCCATTCATATCTTATATTTAAAGTATGGCAGCAGATAATATTGTGCAATTGTCATAAATGCCTGTGTGCACAAATCTGAGATTAAGTTGATCTTATCCGGATGCCTGTCTGATGTATACATGCCTGTGTAGCTGATATGGTATGGGAAGGGTAGGGTGGGAAGGGATATTTATTCTTATTTTTTGCAGTTGTGTTCTGAACATATAAAACAGTAAAAAGACTTTGGAGAAAAAAAGTGTCACTTGTGTCTTTGTTACCTCAGTTTTCTAAGTTCCTTGAAAAATTATTGGTACAAAGACAATAACTTTGTGGAAAAACATGAACTATTTAGTGATTATCAGTATGGGTTCAGGAGTAATGGAAATCCATAGCTGTAATGGACTTTGCAAAAAAAAAAAGAAAAGAAAAATTTGTAGATTAGAAACATTACTCTGGTATTTTGCTGTTCTTACATAAATGTAGACTATATTGAATAAGAGATACTGTGTATCATTGGTTACAAAGGTGTAGGACGTCAAGTACTTGGGAACAACTGCAGGAAAATGGGGAGTGTGGTAAAGAAGTGAAAAAGAGTTGAGGCAGGATGGAGTGGATGGAGAAAAGATTCAGGAGGGATTTGCAACAAAAGAGGGCAGCATACTGATTCAGTTGGTAGAGCTGTTGCCTCTTGGCAAGAAAGCTGCCAGATCAAATCTCGTCCAGGTGCCTTTCTGGGTGGCGTTTTCATGTTCTCTCTGTGCATATATGGGTTTTCTCCGGGTACTCTGGTTTCCTCCCACTGACCAAAAACATGCATGTTAGACTCATGAATCCCTAATCAGGATGACCACTGTGAAAAAAAATCACTATAATGCCACTTGATTGTTGATATGTGCTGCTGATTATCCATGGTGCTTATTTATTTCATGCTGCTGATTTATTTCATGTTGCTGTGTTCATTCATATCATCTGCTCACACAGACTCATGTTCATGCTGCTGTTCAGCGTATTGTTTTTATACTACTAGTGCTTAGTGTATTTTTAGTTAACATTTTTCTTAATTCATATCTTCGATCGATTACTTTTTTCTTTTACATTTTATACTTTTGTTGGATGTATCAGGGACCCTGTGTACACAATTTTGTTCCACCACATGTGCATATGACAAATAAAGAAACTTTGATTTTGATGTTAGTCTGACTGGTAACTCTAAATTGTCCCTAGGTGTGAGTGAGAGAGTGAATGGTTTTTTGTATCATTTGTCTCTATGTGTCCCTGTGATGGACTGGAGACCTGTCCAGGATGTACACCACCTCTCACACAGTGATGGCTGGATATGGGCAACAGTGACCCCCGTGACCCGAAAAGGAAGAAGCCGGTGAAGATGATGGATGGATGGATGGATGGATGGATGGATGGATGGATGGATGGATGGATGGATGGATGGATGGATGGATTTGCAACACAAAGTGTCTGTAAAGGTCAAAGGGAAAGTTTACAAGACAGTGATGAGACCAGCTATGTTGTATGGTCTGGAGACAGAGACATGGACAAACACAGGAGAAAGAACTGGAAGTAGCAGAAATGAAGATGTTGAGGTTCTCCTTAGGAAAGACAAGGATGGATAAGATTAGGATTGAGATAATAATTTTTTTTCTCTCTCTGTGCTCTGGTGAAGACAGACGTGTCTCCCTGT